GAAATAATGAATGTGATGACTTTAGTAAAGATATAGAATTGAATAGAAGTACAGTGATTTTATAGGAAAAAAGAGTTCAACATAAAGTTTAAGTAGCAGACTGACGACTAGAGCAACATCTACTATTTTCTGAAACGGAAAATACAATCTCTTCAGCAAAGAAACTTACATTTTCAGCAAAGCAGAAGAGCACTCATTTAAACCCACTGAATTATGGCCTGTTCGTGTAATCTTGTATGGCAACAGTTCCACGTTCCAAGGTCACCTTCTTGGTTCTCTACCAACTACTGTGTAAGGATGTGGAAGTAGAGGGTTGTTATACAGAAAGCAAGAGTACAGGGAATATATATATAAAATAAAATATGCTCATATACTATAGGTATAAATTATATTTTACAGGGAGATGGGCTTAGGATAATAAATCAATACAAACAACTGATGTTGCCCTATGGAGATCGGAGTTTGACCTGTACCAGAATATTTTCATGCTTGTGACGGAGCAGAAAATTACAGACAATGCTTGAGGAGTGTTTCTGAGTGGACTTCTTCTACTTGAGATGAATTCCAAAGATTAAATACAAAGGATGTTCTCGAAAACGTATGTGGAAGTTAGGCAGTGTAGCAGAAGTCGAATGAAGTCATACACCAAACTCCAGTTCATGTAATTAGGATGAACCTGAAATCATTTTCTCTCCTCCCCCGTAGTTTAGTAGAATGCATCGCATAGTGCACAATCAACCTATGTGTATCTATAACATAAAATAATTTCGGTTAGGCATGTCTTTATCCAAGAATCTCATTTTTTTAAATCTTCCCTCCCATTCACCAACCCAACCAACCATTTGCCCATGACCACCATTCTGGAATGGCTTGCATCATCTGCTTAATGCTGTTTCTACCCCTTCTTTAGGTAATCTTGATATAAATTATGTTGGCTACAACAGCATTCAAGTTCATTAATGTTACTAAGCCTTTTTAAAGTGAAGTAGTGTATCTTCCTCAACATATGTATCCCTAGGGCCGCGTATCTTCTACTACGTCTTGTATGTGCTTTCGTCTTCAAAATTTGAGAAAATCGAGTTATCTATAGAGTAGTTAGTTGGAACATGCGACCAAATAATGTCTCTATATTCGCAAGAATTATCAATTTTATACATCACAGAGGGTCATTTGAAATCACTTCATGTCATTTTTCTTACACCTACTGTATTAAAGTACAACTATAAGTCATATTACCATCAACGTAGCGTGTACAAAATGACTTTTTGTTTTTATTTAACATGCTAAAAATTATCTACAGCCTTGGACCATATTTCCATCCAACTCTATTGTTTCTCAGTGTAGTGAGCCATTTAATTACTTCATTTTCCCCATGTGTCCCACATGGTAAGTTAACGAACTTGCAACACTAAAATCCGGGATTCGATTCTCTCGGTGGACAGAGCAGATAGCCTAATGTGGCTTTGCTCTTAAACAAATAACTGTTCTTGCATACATTGTCTGTAAATATAACATCTATATTTTCTCTTTATTATTCACACACGTATTTTACCGATTCCTTATTCTGGCCTGTATCATTTACTCTTATTGCACTCATAAAACGATATTTCTTAGATCAGAAATTTGTTTCGTGCACATAAACATCATGAAAACTGATATTTCGATTGTTTTAAAATACAGAAAATTATATACAAAAGGAAGCTTATTGTATCTCACAGTTTAACTTATCCTTTTTTTCTTTCAACTTTATCCTTTCCTCGTTATGCTTTTCTTTCTGTTTTTGGTTTACAGTACTTTTTTTTTAAACTCTTTTCAAGTATCCCTATTATTATCATAATGATTCCTTGCCTTTATATTTCTAAATGGAGATATAGAGTCGTTGTGTGGAATACCACGTTCATTTATCCTTAGCAAATATCTTTTATTCAATCATAATGGAATCTAGAATGTTTCCACCGCGTATTCAATATATCAGGTACTTTACTTTTAAGGAATTTCAATCGTGGTCGCCCCACCAGATATATTGATTTATAATTCCGCTTCGTTCCACATTCTGTACTATCGTTCATTGTGAGAAGGAAAGAAATAAAAATATCAGCTTACTGCAAATAGACCACTGATAACTATAAATGAAACACAGTACAGTTGAAAAAGCTATAATATGTAAAAAATGGGGTTATTAATGACAAACCAATGGGGAATGATAAGTGTGACTTATTTCCAATCCTCGTAATGGTCACTCCACTGTATGAGGAGTGTAAAACAAATACAAACCACCGCTATATGCCACTGAATGAAGAAAATCTGGGGTTCAGTTTTTTTTGGTTTTTTTTTCAGTACTGTAATAATGCATTCAACGTTTACCCTAAAAGTAAGGCTGAAAATAATATATGTATTTAGTTCTCTAAACGATTTTTGATAACCACGTGTACGTGTGATAAGAACTCGAGATTAACTTGTACACTTCGTAAATTACATAGATGTAGGGTTTAAAACAGCATATAAGATTCATGAAAGGAATATACAACAACATTAGTTAACAACACGCTTTTGGCATTTCCATAAAGAATGACAAAGCTTAGAATAAAAAAAATCAAAACCATTTATAAATAATGTTGTTGAAAACCATATTTAAGTTTCATAACTAAAAAAGTATAAATTAGAAAGAATACGTTCAAGTTTAGTACGGAATCTGAAATACTTCTGTACTTTCAGGTGAACACGCAGTAAACCCTTGACAACGTGCTCTGCATGACAGGTATTGGTCAACATACCCGTACATGTTTTTCCTTTTTTTGTAATCGAAAAGGAATTATTCTCTATGCAAGATCAATAGTGTAGAAAATTATCGTTTTATTGCTTTATGTGCAAAAAGCAGCAAAATATTTGCAGAGATAAAATAGAATTTATACGATGACGAGGTTCTATAACTTATCACCCTCCCCCAGTAGCACAGCGGTGTGTCTGTGGACTTACAACATTAGAAACCGGGTTTCGATACCCGTGGTGGGTGGCGCACAGATAGCCTACTGTGTAGCTTTTTGCTAAATTACAAACAAACAAACAAATCATATCTTACTCCTTTTTATAACGTGGAAATCTTATACGTGTTAAATATATATACTGTATATGTGTATTATTTATACATATATATACTGTATATGTGTATTATTTATACATATATATACTGTATACGTGTATTATTTATACATATATATACTGTATATGTGTATTATTTATACATATATACTGTATATGTGTATTATTCATAAATATATACTGTATACGTGTATTATTTATACATATATATACTGTATACGTGTATTATTTATACATATATACTGTATACGTGTATTATTTATACATATATATACTGTATACGTGTATTATTTATACATATATACTGTATACGTGTATTATTTATACATATATATACTGTATATGTGTATTATTTATACATATGCATACTGTATACGTGTATTATTTATACGTGTTAAATATGTATATATACTGTATGTGTGTATTATTTATACATATACATACTGTATACGTGTATTATTTATACGTGTTAAATATGTATATATACTGTATATGTAAGTATACACATACAATTTCTACCACGCATTAAAATATTATAGTTTGTTAACAACAGGCATAATCAAAAACTAAAAAGTTAGGCCTAATTAGCCACCTTGATTAGCCATATCTTCACTTTTGGATTCATGTAGAGATGATGGTAAAAAGTAAAAAAAAAAAATGAAAGAAAGAAAATAATTTATTAAAACTACTTTCAGCTGCTTAATCCTCAAATTACCGATTAGTTTTATTTTATCTTGTTGACTAAACTTATGTTTTTTACCTATTACAAAACTCTGTCATGGAACTAACCAGAACAATTCGGTGGAATAAACCCACTTACCTACACAGAAGCTCTCGGCACTAATTACTGGAATTCATTGCAATATCGGTCGTATTTTTGTTTGAATTTTTTGTGTTTCACTCCCACTTTATTAGGGACCCTGTAACTAACAAAGCATCAATCCACAAACAATTTGACGCATAAATAATTTAGAAAAATGGGGTGCCCCATCGGTAATTCTAGTTAATCAGTTTTCCATTCAAGCTGGTGATAATCTTTTAGGTTAACGGATAAATCGACAGTTAAGGTATTCGAAACGTGTTAATTTCAATCAACTGCAACAGACACACTTTCTCTACTTTTGAGTGGTTTGAAGATAATTTTAAAAAATGGAAATATTAAATTATAACAAACCTGTTATTGTTAAATTAACAGTGCATCCTCCCCCCTCCACACACACATCACCTTTTATAAGCATTTGGGTTAGGTTTTTATGACTAGCTATAAGGTTTTTTATTTACTACTGACAATGAGGATTACTATAATGTCTTTTGTTACATTTTCATTGACGTTTTCTGACATTGTATTGTAGATGAAACTAGAAACTTTGTTTATGTCATTAATATCTTATACCTACGTCGTGAAAGATACTCCTAAGATATTTTAAATTCTTCCTGAAATTAGAGGTCACCTGAGTCACAGAACCAGAATGCATGATAACGTTTAGTGATTAGATCATGTATTATTCTAGTAAAACTCTTACTTTGAGTAGTCAACAAATTAGTAAACAGGAAATTCCAAAAATTTACGTCCGAAACCCTCGTGAACAGCGACGGTCCCCAATCATCACATTCTAATCATCAAATGGTTTTGTTTTATGACTTTACGTACACCTCATTAAAATGGTATGATAAATTAACTATATTAATTAATTGGTTAACTTTTAGTTCTGGTATGTGTAAGTAACTTGCTTATAATTATTTTTTATCAATTACCTTACCTAAGATGTTTCGAGTAATCAGTTATTGTTTTCGGTAAAACGTCATAGGAACTTTCATTTTCATTCTAGAATATTCTAGAAAATACTTGTCACACTTACGGGAATACAAATTGTTTTTTATTATTGTATTTGTCTTAACAGCCATCCGTGTGCTACTACGGGGCAAAGCACACGCAGAATGGAAAGTGGTGGTCAGTGGCGATCGAAGAACAGTTAAAGATGACCAAGTGTTTCTGGACAGTAGATCGGTCATCTGGGGTAAAGGTGAGTGTAAATAGAAAACTTGATCCTAGTTTATTTTTTAAATTCGTTATTATAAATCTAAGTTATATAATCTAAATTTCCAAATCCTTTCAAAGAGTATTAATATTTAATAAGAAACACTGCATATATATCTAAGTTATTTCATCAAAGAATCGTGTAAACTATAGAAAGGACAATTCGTGATGTTTCTGAAGAGAGGTGTCAACACTGTAACAGATATTAATGTTTTCTGAAAGCAGTTTGTTTATAAACACTTCTAATACCAATAATTTCTATGTTGCTGTAAAAAGGGCGTGGTTTAGGGATAAACGATGGGTCGGAGATCAGGTCTGTTATTAGATTAAGGCAAGCAATCACTGGTTACTAAGCGTATATCCGAAGCAATAAAGTCATTACTTATATAACATTCGTTACATGACTGTCGAGGTTTGAGCCTTGTGAATGAAATAAATATTTATGTAATTTCTATTTAGGAAAGAGAAACCGACGAATGTTAAAAGCTGCAGAAGTTTTGTTGATAAACAGATAGAGAAACATTAAGGCTTAAAATAAATGTACTTCCGCAGGGTCCCCGAACGTGTTCTGTTTCAAGAGTAAATAAAACCAAAATTAAGAATAACAAATATTTCTTGCTTTTGAAGTTCATATGTCATGCCGTGTTGTGATTCATGACCTGCGCACGTTTTACTGACATCACGACAATACAAATTGCAAAGTTAAGCGTCCGTTATGCGACGTCATTTTTAGTGTCTACTGACTGACTGACAGACAACACACTACTGTATAGTGGAGCGGGTGGTTAAAACAAGGGAATAAATGTACTAATTTAAAATTAAACCAAAGAGCAAGAACATATTGGGTTTTTTATAATACTATTTTAGACAAGAACAAATGTTTTTGACCCTCTTATTATGTTCGCAGTTTAGGTACATCTTTTATGTTTCAGGTCCTATTGGCCTGATGCAATTTCTAACAAATCTATACAACCTTGAATTGATAAAACATTGTCTTCTTTAGATAGATTTTACTGTTAATGTTAAATATTAGAAATTAATATTAACTTTCATTGGGATAAACTCAAAGATATATTTACTTGCATCATAACGTTATGGAAACCAGTATCGAGTTAAACAGACCTGTTAAAGAAAAGAATAAACAAAAGCTTAGCTTGTATATGTCAAAGCTGTTTTTGTAAGACATCCTATTTAAATATCCTTAATTGAAACCATAATTGACGTCCCTCCTGAATTTGTTCCTCCTGATAACATGTTAACACAAAATGTCTTTGAGGAAGAACTTAAAATTTACCTTCTGTATTACATAAATGGTTATTAACCTTGTATGTAATGTTAGGTAAACAGTTTAAACATGCATTCAATGAAACTCAACTTCAACTGGCTTTTTGCTGAAATCAGTTATCCTTTTTTTCTCCGTGAAAGTAAAAGTATTTTTAAAAACTACGAAACATTTCCATGCTATAATAAAAGTGAACTTTATAAAAAATCAGGTGTATAATTACTCAACCTTCCATCTTCCCCTTTTGTCTCAGCGATAAGCTTTGATAGTTTATAACGCTAAAATTCGGAGTTTGATACCTTCTGTAGACATGGTGCAGATAGACACATATACTATTGTGTAGCTTTGTGTTTAAACGAATAAAATCTCCCGCCTTGCGGTGGCGAAACTAACTATTCGCTTGGGAGTGTTGTTTTTTTGTTTGTTTGTTTCAAGAATAATTTAACGTTGTATTTAAAATTATGTACATCTTTTCCATAAAGCATTGTTTGACTTTGATGGATTTTAGATTTCTTAGCATTAATTCAAATCGTGTCTTGAAATTTTACTTACACAAGTTCATGGGTTGAACGTAAAAAGAACTCATTATCCTTCATTTAATAATTTTCCGGTGGGACAGTGGTAGCTCAACTGAATTAGAACGCTAAAATTCGGGGTTCGTTTCTCCACTGTAGACACAGTAGATAGTCCAAGAGAGAGAAAACCGCTAGTTTAGTTTCTCATGTGAAACTTTACATATAATTGAGGGTTCGATATATTTTCTTCGAAAAGTGCAATAAAACTCACAAAATGTTGTCTTGACAGAAAGTCTTTCCAAAGTAAAGCTTCTTTTGTTCTAGGCCACTCCGTTTTGACCTTATTTTACACTGTAAGGATGGTTTTCAACATACTCATAACATATAAAATACTCTGCGCACTTACTAGAAATAACAATATATGTTATTCGACTGTTTCTTATGACTGTCATTGGTTGAAGTCTGATCACTAATATCTAAGTATTTCAATCACTGAACGATCTAAGACAATAAAAGTAACTAAAACGTGAAGACGAAAATATATTATTTCTGCTTCACGGTTTCCTTCTCCTAGTTGACTAGGTTCTAACGTTTTTGAACAACCGTTCTTTTTTAGATCCCTTTAACTTCAACAGGACTAGTTAAGCACTGAAAAGAGGTTTCTATAGATAAATTACTTTACAAAAGACATTGGTTTGCGCGTTTGTTTTTCAGCACAAAGCTATACAACTGAGTATTTATGTCCAACATGGGATACCGAACTTAGATTTTTAGCATTGTAAGTCATTAAACTTACCATTGACCCACCGAGGGACAAAAAACAACAACAATGAAATTTCACCAAAATCTTAAATATTTCTCTACCAGAGGTGAACCGATAAGCACAAAAATTACATTGCTCGAAAGCTTTGATACTAATTTATCGTAGCAAGGTAACTTTAATAGTTTTTATCATTTCCCGGATATTGTGATGACGACACAGTCATTAATTTATGTACGATCAACTCCAGTTTTAGGGTTAAAGCATGAACATTTAAGTACATCTTTTAATCTTGTTGAAGATAAAAGTAATCGCCTGTTTTATATATCATTCAAAATGTATTAATTGCTAAAAAATGATTTCAGAATGGTGGTATGAAAAAGAAAGAAAAATCTTAGGTACTTTTCTTATATTCCTTTTAAATAAACACTGCAAAATTTCGTAAACTACAGTGATAAATGTGTAATACACGCACACATATATTTAGCCGTTCATCTTTACTTTCACAAGTATGAGATACTAGTTCATTTAAAGTTACGTTTACTTCTAACAACTGGTCTTTCTGGCTCAAATAAAAGGTTTTTGACATCAGGTATGTTATTAGTTTTCAGGGTTTGTAGGTGTTGTTCTTAGGATTTGTTCTTATTAGAATTCGTAACAAATTTTGATAATCATCAGGAGAGTAATGGACATAAACAGCATTAGGGTTAAGATATATCGATATATACAAGAAGAAATTATACCTTTTGATACCCGAGTCATATGGAAGTGTTAAAACAAATGGCGTGGGGAAAGCAGCGCACTAAAGTTTACTAACCCACAACGTTCTAAGTTTGTAAAAACCTGTATAAATAAAACAATCATTCTTCGTTTACTTCTTACAATTTATCTCTTTGCATTTGATATTTACTGCATATTTAGTTTAAACAGAAATTTGGAACTAATTTAACGAGCATCATTTGGTCTTTAATTTTTATTTATTTATTTTTTTGTATCAGTATATTAGGTAAATCATGACGAGCATTTAGGTAACAAACCTAGTAGTGCGGTCATTTGGGTTACTCTCGGAACCATGGCTATTCAGATACTCTCGTGAGCAGTCTGTTGTGTGCCCTAGATATAGTAGGCATATTTGGCTTTACGTGGTAGTTTCTGAAACGACTAGTTTCGTTAAGTGGTATCGTATCACAATCACTTAAAAAAAACAACACATTCATAATCCATTCACAAATATACATGTTCTGTGTAGTTGAAAAGGTTCATCGGAAAGTAGGATTTCTATGGGTGTAATATAAATTAATGGTTCATTAAATATATTTTAAGCTCAAACATTGCATATTTGAAAGTTAATAACACAGGTACTTGTCTGAAAACTTCAACGTGCGCACATGATTCCTAAATCTTTTAACAAAACAAATCCTGCTATGAGTTACTTGTTATATATACGATTCTTCGAATGACGTCATAATTCATCATACAACATTTAATAAGCATAAAAGCCCCCCAGTGGCACAGCGGTATGTCTGCGGACTTACAATGCTAGAAATCGGGTTTCGATACCCGCGGTGGGCAGAGCACAGACAGCCCATTGTGTATCTTTGTGCTTAACTTCAAACAAACAAAATGATAATAATAAGCATAAAAGGTAGTTGTAATCATATTATGTATTATACACTGTGTATGTGTGGAAGGTACAGAATAAATTTTCTGTGGGCGTGTAAAAAGACATCTTTGACTTTAAAAAAACGTATGCAACTTTACACGTACTGAGACATTATGTACGGTGTGTGTTAACAATAAAATAGTCGATACCAAACATGAATCAGGTGGCTGTTTCACTGTTACAGCCTCTGTATTCCTGCTGTAGACTGTTGACAATGCCACCTGGCTTCTTCGATGTTAATTATCTTTTAAAACACGGATGCTCCAATTTGATTCACATATCTTTATTTTCCAATTACATTAAGTACATGGAATGTCTCCGTTTGAAAATTCAAAATCTCCGATCTGAACACATCTTTATGATCTGAGTGTATGAATGTTTTGCGTCGGAAAAGGCTATTACACGCCCTTCCCCGAAAGCGATCATTTTCCGAGTGGCACACACAACCAACAAAACGGCAAACAATGTCAAGATATATTTATGATACATGCCGTTCCACCATGACTTTATATCGGCTGTGGTATCACGTAACTTGCTGATTTGCATATTAAAAATAGTTTTAATATAACGTACTCAGTCCTGTATAATTATTGATAACATGTAACATAAAAAGGCTTATTCGATGCATGACATTAATGGAATTGGGAGGTTAAATTCCAGTTTTATTTCTTTAACTAGAAGAGTATATATATATTAACCTAGTCATCCTATAATGGCTGGAGACGGCTTAAATGGGTAATGAAGAAAAACTTTAATACAAGTTTAA